GGAAAGCGGCCAATGCGGTGGTAGAATTTACTGGAACAACGAACCGCAATTGTGTGAGTGAGAGGCCCAAAATGGAGCAGTTTTGCCAGCTGCATCAGTGACGAATAGAAAATGCACCGATGAAACAAATTCAGTTCATCAAAATATCAAAGTTAAATGGGAAATGTATATGACTAGATGCACCGACACAATCTTGTTCATCTGATTATTTCTTAAAATACGTATGTATATATCACCATTAACAGCTCAACAATGTGTGATCCGGAGGCCGAGAAATACAGAAAATGAGGAATGTTGAGACGATTTAGCGCCTATTTCTGCATATTTTGAAGTAAAGATTGTTGATGATCAGTTGCTGCCTTCCTCCAACAGGTCACTGATATATCGATAAATCATTGCCATCGGACAGTTCTGTTTTGCGAATATGATTGATTGCTGCCAGCAGCGAATCGAACTCAGCCTCCCCAGGACAACCCCGTACAGATATATGATACAAACCAACTCGTCCATTCCGACAGCACTGAACATCATTTTCTGAATTTATAACGGTTTTTGGTGGTTACTGCGAATTTAATCTTCGTTCGTCTTTTTTAGCGCCCGTTTATCTAAGCCTATGCTCACAAAGCTCGAAATATGTGTAGCTTCTAAAGACTTCCCAAGTGAAGTTGGGAAAAGTGTGTAATTTTCCAGGATAAAGAACACGGAATTCAATCAAAAACAAGCGTTGGATCAAGGCGATGGAGAACTTTCAACATCCTAAGCAGTAGTTTCATAGCGCGCATAACTTCAATAATAGAATTATTTTTTGCTTTTAATAAAATTGGATAAATTTTTTAATAAAAGTGAAAAAAAAATAAAATTGAATAATAAAATAAATTTATGCCAAGAATAAAGTAATTACTGGGTATCTCATTGACTACCAGAGATTTCCCGAATAATCAGTGTGGCTATTACATGTCACTGATATTCTTGTGATATAAGCACACATCAAGTGCAGCTGCGCCAAATCTTTCGATCCTGAATTGCATACCTCCAGTTAGTACCCACCGCATGTTCGATATATATGTGCCACCTCTTAGAGGACCTCCTAAGTGGTCATTCATTTTCTTTTTATGTAAAAATAAAAACTGAACGGCAAAATCTGTAATACCCGACCTGATGATGTGCTGTCCTTCATAAAATATTTCTCAGCGCAGTTGCGCTTTTTGTGTAGTACTCAGGAGCGACAGCCCCAAAATTTTAACTTTTTAGCTTTAACAGGTTTTAAGTTAAACTGTACAGACGTGCATACACAAAACAATTTTACCGCGGTGCATTCTCGACTCATCAAAGAAGCGCGCTTTTGATACTTTAATTAACTGCAGTTTTCCAACTGTGCAGGTGGCAACTTGCCAAATTGTTTTAGCCAGTGCTGATTCGTCTAGTAGTCAGCCTGCTACTTTATCCTAATGTTCGTTCGTTCCTAGGATGTTTAACAGTCGTGTCGCACCCTGAAAACTTTTGTACGAAATTAAAGACCCATAAAAATTAGGAATTTTCCTTTTTTTTTGACAAAATTTTCGTAATTCTCTGGAAGCCCTCAAAAATGATATTGCTAATAATGATTGTCTTCTTCTGGCCGTAAAAATCTCAAAATCGCTCCCACCTTCCGGCCGTAAAAATGGCAAATTCTGACTCGCGTCTGTAAATGATTATGACGTCTTATAATTTAGCGATGATGGGTCATAAAAAACGATAATTCCCTATTTTGCTCGTAAAACACGCTAGCCACAATCTTTTACCACAAAATGAAGCAACTCC